GGGAGTGAGGATGTGATGTGATGTGATGGGAGTGAGGATGTGATGTGACGGGAGTGAGGATATGATGTGATAGCTGGGGTCTGGTTCAAAGCTTTAGCCCTATGATCTAAGCAGCCCAGTCTAGCCTCTCCATTGGTCTTCCATCGCTGTGTTGAGCCTGGCATTCTCCGAGTGCCTGTTCTGTGACTGGCATGGTGCCAGTGGTTTCTGAAGTGTCAACCTACATCCCACTCAGTCTTCACCTCTCGGTGGGGGTGGGGTGAGTCCTGTCCATGTTATCAAATGAGGAAATAGATTTATTGATGTAAAATAGTCTACCCCAGGTTCCACAATTAGAAACAAAGGAGTTAGACTTGGATCCAGATCTTTTGGTTCTAGTCCCCGCTGTTCTGGGCTGCTCAAGATACATGATGCTCCCCAAACATTGTCTCAGCAAGACTAAACAGAGTGCCTGCCCTTGTCCATGAACCAATGGGAACTACTGGGTCAGGATATGGATTGGCCAGGGAGTCCTGTCTTTCTAAGAGCCCGGGGGTGAACCATACCATGGAGTAAAGCTGGAGAAATTGTCAGTCAGGGTGCAGAGGACTTTACAAACTGCACTAAGGAGTTTAAATTTGATCCTGAGAGGGTGCAGAGTCATTGAGCATCATTACGTCGAGTTCCCTGTGGAGACCCTTCCTTCCCGGTTGCCTCCAGATGATGACCTCAAACAGACATTGCTGTTCACACCAGCAGCTAAGTCCCAGCCCCAGTGCCCGCAGCCACCTCGGCCCAAAAGAGCTTTCCTTCACACCTGTGGTGCTGGCTGTGGTGCACCCAATGGCTAACTCAGAATGCTTCTGGGACTAGAGCGGCCGATACCACAGAACACCATCCCTTGGTAGAGGGTGGGGTCCCTGTCCCTCAGCAGCTCTTACAGGGTTGTGATAGACTTTGGACTGGCAGTTCTGGGTTCAAATGTTAGCTCTGCCCTTACTGTGAACATCAGGAGGTGCTTCAACTCCTGAGTCAGAGGTGGAAGGAAGGAAGAGTAGAACCTCGGCCATAGGGCTGTCTCGAACATCATGTAATGTATACAAACCACTTAGAACAGTGTGCAGCCTATAAGAAGTGCTCCGTAGAAGTTGCCTACTGTTCATATATTTAATTGATTATAAGGTGCACTTTTTATTTTCACCTTCCATTATCTTAGATTGGGTATATCTTCCATTGCTAGTTTAGTAGACTCAAAGAAACTGGTTATTATTGATATTGTTAGCAGACATCAGCCCAGGGTCCCAGACCTCTTGCGACATACAAAGCTTCCAAGACAGCTATGGCAGTTTTGCTCAAAAGATGTTTCCTTCCTGGCCCCAACTTGCTCCTCCACCTAGGCCACCCAAGGCTCAGCTCAGGATGTGCTGACAGAAAAGCCTTTTTCTTCACAGAGGCCACAAGTCTGCTGAGCTGGGAATGTGGCAGGCTCAAAGAGGACCTATGTGCTCGCCCTGGAGTATACTGTTGGTCCCCAGGGCAGCACCCTACAGCTCTTTGCATTTGAGCCAATACAGGCCACTGCTTCCCTTCACTGCCTGCATGCTGCCACCCCTCTGGACAAGTTAGTGGCTTGGCTGACAGGCTCCATAAGCAATTTCAGAGTCCCATACCCTGGCTTCTTCCTGCAGAGCTGGCTGGATCACCTTGGTTCTTGGAAGAAGATCTAATGGTATAGAAGGCTTCTATAGAACAATTATAGCTTTCTTAGAATTCATGTGCGCATGAGCAAAGGATGTCCTGGGCAGGTGATCAGTCCTAGTGTCCCTTTATACTCCCTTCCAGGAAGTTCTAGCTCTTGTGAGGACAGCTTACCTTTAGGAAGTGCACACTTTCAAGGATGGAAGAAAGGAAGCAGTGTTCTTGGTGAACTGGTACCAGTTCTGGCTGCAAGCAGGGTGGGGAGTTTTCTCTGGCCCTTCCTACGTCATCGCCACTCTCTACAACAGCACCAGGAAAATGTGATGGGGCAAGAGCTTCTACAAAGGAGGCCCCCAAACCATGTGTTCATTTAGGACTCTGCCCTCCTCTTGCTCTTCTAATTTACCCTGCATGCGGGTCAGCTGACCTCTCGGTCCTGCTGGAGTGACACAGGTGGACACCCCATCAGCCCGTCCTGGACGCCCCTCATCCTCTTCCTCTTTGAGACAGGCTCTTACTGCACAGCTCTGGCTGTCCTGGAACTTACTATGTAGACCAAGCTAGTTGGTTTGGTTTTTTGTGGGGTTTGTTTTGTTTTGTTTTTAGAGACAGGGTTTCTCTGTGTAACAGTCTTGGCTGTCCTGGAACTCCATTTGTAGACCAGGCTGGCCTCAAACTCACAAAGATCCTCCTGCCTCCACCTCCCAAGTGCTAGGATTAAAGGCATACCCACCACTGCCCAGCCCAAACTAGTTTTGAAGTCTCAGAGATCGGCCTACTTCTGCCTCCTGAGTGCTAGGATTAAGGAGTGGGCTATCACACCCACCTCATTCTGAACTTTTATTTTTAAGAGTTACTTTTACTTTGTGTTATGAGTCCCTTGCCTGCATGTATGTCTGTGCACCATATGCATGCAGTGCCCAGGAAGGCCAGAAGTTGCTGGGTCCCTGGAACTGTTATTACAGATGGTTGTGAGCCACCATACGTGTGCTGGGAATCAAACCCAGATCTGTCAGAGCAGCAAGTGCTTTTAACTGCTGAGCCATCTTTCCAGCCTCATTCTGGACTTTTAATAAATCATCATCATTCATATCTTATTCTTATTTGTCTTGGGGGAAAACATTCACCTTAGTTGTCCCAAACATGCCCCTCCTAATTAATCTGAGAAGGTAAATGTATAAGCCTGCTCTCTGCTCTGCTCTGTCTGCAGCTGGGTTAACTCAAGCTGCTCATTTGACCTCTCTGGACTTCTGTTTCCTTGCCTAGAGAATTGACGATTAACCCTTTGTGAGTTGCTGGGTAGTGTGTATTGTTTTAGTTTTTTGTTTTTAATGTGCATTGGTGTTTTGCCTATATGAGGGTACCGGCTACCCGTTATGAGTGGCCATGTGGTTGCTGGGAATTGAACCTGGGTCCTCTGGAAGAGCAGCCAGTGCTCTTAGCCGCTGAGCCGTCTCTCTCTCCAGCCCCATATGTAGTGTGCTTAATGAATCATAGTACAATACGCAGAGGCTTCTAGTACTTCAGCTTTCCACTCCCTGACTTTATTTCCCTCTCAACAGAAGAGAAAATGGCTAAAGAGGTGAGAGTGGGTGGGCGGGCCAGGTTGTTTTTGTTTTATTTTGGAGATTTTCTTTTTCAGTTCTTTGAGACTCTCTAATAATGGAGCCCAGGCTGGCTTCCAACTTGCCATGTAGCCCAAGTTGGGCTTGAGCTCATTATCAGGTCTCTCGCCCAGCCTTGAACGGTACTTAGGGAAACCTTGAAGGCACTGGGTATTAGATGTGGTGGATTGGCTGTAGAGCTAGGAGTGGCCAAGGAGATAGATCTGCAGGCCTCCCATCCTGGCCATAAACTCAGCATCGTTGCCTGCCGTCCATCTTTGGCTGCAGGCCTCCTGACCGAGGGCGTGGGACACACAGCAGACCAGTTTACCGAGCCCTCTTCCCACAGATATGGCCAACCTGTCACTTCACGACCACGACGGCTCCAGTGGCGCCTCTGACCAGGACACACTGGCTCCTTTGCCGCACCCGGGGGCTGCCCCGTGGCCTATGGCTTTCCCTTACCAGTACCCACCACCTCCGCATCCCTACAATCCACACCCCGGCTTCCCAGAACTGGGCTACAGCTACGGCGGCGGCGGGGGCAGCGCCAGCAGTCAGCACAGTGAAGGTAAGTCAGAAACCCAGCCGGACGGCATCTGCAGGAACCCGGGCCACCTCTGCACCTCCATCCTGGCCCTGTTTGTTCCCTCCAGGCAGTCGCAGCAGCGGCTCCAACCGAAGTGGCAGCGACCGGCGCAAGGAGAAGGACCCAAAAGCTGGGGACTCCAAATCAGGCGGTAGCGGCAGCGAATCAGACCACACGACCCGCAGCAGTCTGCGGGGGCCGCGGGAGCGGGCGCCCAGCGAGCGCTCGGGCCCGGCCGCCAGCGAACACAGCCACCGCAGCCTGCGCAGCCACCACACGCACCCGAGCTACGGCCCGCCCGGAGTGCCCCCTCTTTATGGCCCCCCGATGCTTATGATGACCCCGCCGCCTGCAGCCATGGGGCCCCCAGGAGCCCCTCCAGGCCGTGACCTGGCCTCGGTGCCCCCGGAACTGACGGCCAGCAGACAGTCCTTCCGCATGGCAATGGGAAACCCCAGTGAGTTCTTTGTGGATGTGATGTGATCAGGACCCCTTCCCTTCCCCACCCCACCCCCCAGCCGGCTGCATCCCTTTCTCATCAGTCGGTCTTTTTTTTTTTTTTTTTTTAAACTTTGGTACCTAAAAGGGAAATAAATGGAGCTAACTGCTCCTGCTTGCTGGTAGCAGCAAGGATGAGGGTCTTTGCTCATCCATGCCACAGCCCTAAACCCGCCTCTGGCCCAGCTGTGCCTCTGCCCGCTAACCAGCACCCATTCCATCCGGTTCTGGCTTCCCAGAAGTTTTCCTGTCCCTGGCTCTGCACTGCTAGTCTTACTTCCCGACGCTCCATTCTCACGCTTAGGAGCTGACCCCCGTGGTGTCACGCCCTAATACCCACCTCCCCCCAACCCTTTTCCCCACCTCCCCCCAACCCAAGCATGTGTGCAGAGATCTTGATTTTACCCCGCCACACTGACACCAAAAAATGGCCTTCCCGGTCCTAACTGCCCTGCCCACTACTTCAGGCCTTCACCCACGGCTGTAACCACCTCTAGCAGGCACCCATGCTATCTGTCCCTGCTTGGAGCCGGCCCAGGCAGGAGCCCAGAGAGGTGCTCAGGTGCCAGGACCACCAGTGGCTTCCGGGGAATATCTCTGCTGGGCCTGGCCCCTCATCTATGCCTGTCCTGTGTGCTGGTTCTCTGAGATCTAACCCTACTAACCCACAGGCTCATCTGATTTCTGGGCCTGAAATGTTTTTCTTCTTTTTCTTCCTCCAAATTTCCCTGGGCCTGGAGCAGCCAAGAATTTCGGGCTCTTTGACTTTCTGTGAGTCCCCAGGAAAGGGAGGCCCGGCCTCCAAGGAGACCAGGAACTCTGCTTCAGCAGCCCCCTCGGGGCTTCCCAAGGATGTCCAGCCCCCACACCCACACAAGTGCAAGGTTACTAGGCTTCTGGGAAGGCCTCAGCTTCACCCAAGCATGACAGACTGTTCTTTCCAGAGAGAAGTAGAGACGTTTTCTCCCTACCCCCTCACACAGACAGACAGACAGACAGACACACACACACACACACACACACACACACACACACACACACACACACTGTGTGCCTATGCAAGTTTACATAAGCCTCAGGGCTGGTCCCTGCCCACAGGGCTGGACCCTTCCTCCAAGTCGTCTCCTAGACAGTGGGGCTGGTCCCTAACCGCCCTCTCCCCTTCCCGCTTGCCGGAAAGCCTCCCACACATGTCCCCAATACCTCGGTACTTGGATCAAGGCCAAAAGCTGGGCTCAGCAGAGGACTCTCCGGGTACCTGACAGGTCCTTCTCTACTTCCCTCCTCCTCCCCCGGGGCCTTACCCCTGCCCTGTCTTCATCTTCACCATGACACCCGAGAACAGAGTCAGGAAACAGGCCAACCGAAGTTACACAAGGGGACCACTGGGGCTTCCAGAAAGTTCCGGTTATCTTTAAAGTTGTTTTCCACCTTAAATCACAATTTTTCTTTAAAACTCTGCTATAAACTCTACTGACTCCCCAGACTCACATTTTCAGGGCAAAGGTATCGGAGCTGGGGATGTAGCTCTGGGTAGAGTGCTTGCCTAGCGTGCCCTGGGGTTCAGTCCCCAGAAAATGCCTCCTGCCATCAAGATGTCCTTAGCCCATGTTTGGGGGCAAACCGAGGTGGGGATATTTTGACATTCATTCATTTTACAAATATTTCCTAGGCTTTTAATGAACAAAGGGCTATGTTAGACGCATGACTCAGTCTTCCCTGTCTTCAGTACTCTGTGACTCTGCCATGTCCTGTTCTTTTGAGACCCCCCCTCCCCAGGGCTCATGCACTGGATGCCAGTGTCTCCATTGCCAACTTTTGCTCACTTCTCTTTCTCTCCCAAAATAGTGTCATCCATGCTCCTTTCAGTTGCCATTGATATGCTGGCCACTTCCTTTTTACTCACTGGACATCTCCATAGGCATGTCCATATGTCCCTAGCCCAGTATTATTCCTCTTGAATTCCTGTCTTGGTGACTTTCGTCACAATCTACATAGGCCCCCCAGCCAGAAACATTTATTCGCTTAAAATCCTTCATCCTACATGGTGTTAGTCAGCACATCACACCCTTCCGCTCTGACACTCTTTCTGAAGTTCAGCTGTTCCTCTCCCCTTCTTAATTTACAGAGCATGGGATTTGGAGTCAGGTTGGTTTGGGTTTGAATTCCAGCTCTCCATTTTTGGCTGTGTAATAGAGTTATTTAACCTCTCCGGAGCCTCAGTCCTCCTGTATGTAAGATGATAATAATACCTACCTCACAGGGTTGTTGTGAGGATTCAAATTAGATATTGTACGAAAAGTGCCGCGCACAGTGCCTGGCACACAATAGAGTAGGTGCTCAATAAATGGTAGCTATTATTATTATTATTATTATTATTATTATTATCATTACTAATTTACTCTACACTGGCAAACATTTAGGGTGTGTTGGGAAGGGGAAGCTTTTGCAAACATAGACATGAAGCCTTGCATGGTGGTTCAAGGGTTAAAAGTATCTGATTTTGATCACTGAATAATGTCCCAAAGTGACGATCTTTTGAGAAATGTCAGGTCTTCATCCTGCTATGTCCTGGCTTCTGGAAGGAGGTTGCTAGGAATGGTAAGGTTAGCAACCAGATTTCCCCACCCCGCTTCCTTTCTGCCATAGCAGTCTTGGGCCTGCTCAGGCAACAGGATGCCTCTGCCTACTGAGAGAGAAGAACCACATTTTCTTGATTTGGTGAGAACCAGACAGGCTGTGTCCAGGGTTGGCTCTGCCTCATTCTCTCACCCTGCCTCATTCTCTCAGTCTGGATATCATGAGAGGTGGAATTTCTTAATTCCATGCCCAGCTAAATTGGGGTGGAGGGCAGACAGGGTCTCTTATGTAGCACTGGCTGTCCCGGAACTCTATGTAGACCAGGCTGGCCTCAAACTAACTGCCTCTGCCTCCTGAGCCCTGGAATTAAAGGAATGCATCACCAGCACACAAAGTCACAGGTTTTGCTGAGAAAAGCTTTAACTAGTTTTGCCAAGAATTAGTCTCCCTCCCCACCCTTTGTCTTTGGATAATTATCCCTGGGAAAAGGCTCAGTCGTGACTGCAATAGATACATATACCTTGGGAGAATCAATCGTAGTGTTAAAAAGCAGTAAATTCAGTTTATGCCAGGTTGTGTTTGTAAAGTGAAGATAGCCAGTCTTCGGAATCTGGAGACAATAAAAGACTTCAGTACTTCAAAATTTACAACTGGTTTCGACAAACAGCTTTGATCTCTCGAAGCCTGCCGAAACAATCTAACTAGGAACAGGAAGACTTGCCGAGACTACACTTCCCGTGATACTCAGTGAAGCAAATGAATGGGTGGAGCGTACCACGACGCGTGTTAGCGCAAGCAAGACGCACTAAGGCCGGCGTCGGCCCTCTCTCTCGAAGGCGGTCGGTAGTTGTAGTTTTGCTAAACCTAGGGCGGTCTGATTTAGCAGCTTGAAAGCTGCGGGGGCTGACGGGACTTGTAGTCGCCGCTGGAGGCCAGCGCGCAGGCGCAGCTGAGATCGGGGCGGGGCGGGGCGGGAGCACTGCAGTGAAAGCCGAGGCAGCGGACAGGCGAGCAGGGGGCGGGCGGACATCTTGGGATCCGAGAGTGGCCAGGCCGGCCTTTGGGGGGCTGCTGACTCCAGGTGAGCTGGGAAGCTGGGCTTGCGGGTCCTTCCCGGGCCAGCGAGGGCGCCGGGGGTCGCCTGCCGTGCCCTGCACTGCGCCGGGTGGAAAACTGCCCGCACTCGGGAGTGGCCTCAGCCTCCAGAGCCGGCAAGGAGCAGACGGCCGGGCGGGGGTGCCTCGGGCGCGATTGCAGCGAGGGCGGGGAGCGACGCCCTCCGGTGACCCGCCGGGCGTCTCTGGGGAGAGACACGGGCCCGGATCCTTGAGCCGGGGCGCCGCGCGGCGCCCCCAGCCCTAGAACCCTGACAACCGCTCACCCCTGAGGCTTCCCATCTCCCCCATCCCCCCCGGGACAGTGACATCTCCTGGTGCCACTCCCTTGGACAGTGACAGGTCTCGAACCTTGCGATATTCCTTCCTCCTGTTGACCCCCACGGCTCTCTCCCCCCAGACCCGTGACAGCCCCCGCATGCCGCCCTGCCGTCTCCCCGGCCTGGGTATCTCCTCCCGCGGCTGAGAAAACCCCACCAGCTTCTCCTGCCTCACGAACCTCAGAGTAGGCCCTGGCTCAGCTTTCCCTTTTTCTGCTGTCAATCTCCGCCGCCGTTTTTTGCTCCTCCAAAGCTCCTATGACCTTTGCCTTAGGAGAACTTCTTTAGGGGCGTCCACGGCTGTGCTTGCTGCTGTGGGGTCACCCTAGTATATTGCTAGCAAGCACAGCTAGCCGTTTCCTTAACTAAATATCCCATTTCTGTCCAGGACACACACACACACACACACACACACACACACACACGCATACGCCCGACCTGCGGTTCTAGTGCCCGGAACCATCTACTGCTTGATACCTGTGGACTTGGTCCTTTGCTCAGGACTCAACCTCCATTTTGCATTTTTTTCTCTCTCTCAGCTTTGGAACTGTGGGATTCGAATGAGTCCACCACCCTAAGAGACTTGTCATTGGTCTTGGGTTTATTTTCCAGTTTCAGAAAGAAGGTCTGTTAAACTAACCCCTGTGAAATTAATACCTGGGCTAATCCAGAAAATCTAGAACCAGATTAACCCCTTTTCACAAACAGTCTAAATTAGTTTTGACCCAAATAATTTGGACAGTCGAGGCACTCTGTTATCCCTGACCATTGCTGCTAAATGTCAGGCCTGCCATGAGTGACTGGTAGATCTGGAGTCACAGTTTAGATGGCAGGATTAATGCTACACACAGACCTTATTTGAATTGCACTTTGAAATTTTGAAAGGACGGTGACCAGAAATAACTGTGATAGGGAGGGGCTCAGAGTGTAAGAGTACTCACTGCTCTCCCAGAAGACCTGAGTTCAGATCCCAGCACCCCGTCAGGTAGTTCACCACGGCTTGCACATCTAGCTTCCACACACACACACACACACAGCGTACACACCGGCATGTACATTCATGGAGGTGAAAATTCATCTTTTTTTAAAAGAACTGTAGTAGGCAGCTTGGATCATTAAGTGTGGTTTGTCTGTGCTGGGGCCTCTGCTCCTTTGCCTGCTTATCTCACTGCCTGGGAAAGATGTGCCTGCTTCAGCCACATTCCTGGGTCCATGTTAGAGCCTAAGGGCCACCGTTCGCTCTCCTACCCTCCACCCTCCTCACCCTGCACACCCTTTCCTGGAATGTGTAGACTTCTAGAGGTCCATGCCCTGCTGCCTTCTTGGAAAAGTAGTGCTTGCTCTAAAGGTTCTGCCTGGTGGCCGTCCCAGGCCCAAGCCAGCTAAAGAGTAATTCCTACCGCCATGCCTGCATCCGCAGGCGGCCGCCTCAGTGACTCACTGAATGAGACTGCACAGCAGGAGGTTGAGAGGAATCCTTGCTGAGCCCAGCGCTGTGAAGGAGGGGGGGGGGTTGGTTACTCTCTGCTTCGGCCCTCAGAAAAGGCTGGAAGAAAATGGCCTTCATCCCCGGCCCCACACTCTGAAATTGCTTTCTCCTATCCAGTGTGGAATAAACAGGAACTGGGGCCTAGCTGAGGGGGAGGGGCTTCCCTGGGAGAGCTGCAGGGTCACTTGCTAGAGGACTGAGTCAGAAAAAAAAAAAAATCCAAGCCTGTACAGCCCCGACTTGGGCAGGGGTTCTGAAGATTTCCTTTACCCTGCCCCCATCTTTCCTTCCTAGGTCTGTTCTCAGAGCAATGGGTCACAGAGACTGAGCTGCCACCATGATTGGAGGTTTATTCATCTATAATCACAAGGGGGAGGTGCTCATCTCCCGGGTGTACAGAGATGATATCGGGTAAGTTCCGTGGCTGAGCATGCTGTGCTCCAACCTCCCGATTGCCTCAGCCTGAGCATGCAATAGAGCCTGGTCCCCATTAGGCATTGGCCTAGCAGCAAGGCTCAGGACCTCGGAATGATACCCCCAAACCCCAGGCTGAGGAATTCCTGCCCTTCCTATTCCTGTATCTTTTAGGTATAGATCTGGTTGCTAAAGATGAGTGCTTTTTTTTCCCAGTCGGATTGATTCTTCCTTTCAGGAGGGAGCACTATCTCCAGTGGGCGTGATTAGTTAGTACCAGGGGTACTAAGCTATCTAAATCTTGCTTTCAAAATGCTTCTCATATTGAGAGCCTTCCCTCAACCCCTGTCAAATCCTCATTGGTGTGTTAACTCAGCTGTTTTCGGGTGTCCTGGGCCCTTCCTGCTTGTGAACAGGTTCGAAGCGCTCTATGGGCGCTCGTGTCCTGAGTCCCTCAGACCCTACAAAGAGCTCACTAGAGCCTTGTTTCTCTCACTCTGCCTCACACGGTGGCTCTTTGCTGATCCTCGCTGCTCTAACCCGAGCCTAGGCTCCTCCAGTACTTCCTACCTTGTGATTCTTTCTCAGATCGCTTGAGATAAACAGTCAGAATAGACCTGTCCTAGCTCTCCTCTGTTCTTGTCTCCCTGGCTGATGGGCTAGCCTGGTGTGGCACCTTGTGGCTGTATCCATTGTTTGGTGGTAAACCTGAGCTAGGCTTTGTGGCAGTGCCTAGCCTAAGTGAGCCTGGCCGGTCCCGCCCCTTCCTGTTCCTCCCACCTCTGATGGTTGATGCTACGGCTAGGCCACGTGAAGCCCTGCATGCCTCGGTGTGCGCTCTACCCGGTGCCTGTCTCGTGTGCTTCCCCGCCGTGGTGTGTGCTGCCCACCGCGGCGTGCTGTGTGGGCGTGCGTGCTGTGTCAGCGTGCTGTGTCGTCTAACCCTCTCTCTCCTTGCTGTCACTCTCCTCCTCTTGCTGACGTCATTTCTCTCATCCCATCTCATTGGCTGATGTAGCAATAGGTAAGCAGCCTGTCACGCTGCCACTCAGGTACAGGCGGGTAGCGGGTCCTGCTCCACGGAATGGTTTTCCTTCATCTTTTTCCACCCCCTGAGTTTCTGGAGTTGGATCTCAGAAAAGAACTGGGTCTTACAGTCCATAGCCTCTTCTCACCCGATAGAATAGTCTTCCCCGAGGTCACTCTAGCCTTGTCCGGCTTTCAGGGGAGTTGCCTTTCCCACTGGTGGGCCCAATAGAGAGCTCTCTCTCTTCAGGGTCTGGAACTTTCTGGAAAGCTAGAAAGGTGACAGCTGGGGTGTATCTGGGAAGTTGAAGTCAGGCCTGGAGTCACTTCCGTCATTATCCTTCGACTCCCCTACTTCTCATGGCCTTCAGATAGCAGCCCAGCGCAGGCCTTCTTCCCATGACCCTCCTGGGTGCTATAAGAAG